CAGATTTAAAAGATAAAACTGGGTGTTGCTGCGCATGGTGGCATGCACCTGTAATCCCAACACTCCGAAGGCTGAGGCAGGAGGATCGCTGTGGGTTCAAGGCCAGCCTATACTACCTAGCAAGACCTTGCCTCAGGAAAGCCTGAATGAGTGAATGAATATTGGGTGTGTATTTTCCACACTGATTTACATGTGGATTTGATGTCAGTGACGTCCACTGCACTTATAGCACTCAGTGTGATTCAGGGCAGTTACTTCCGCACAGCATAGTGATGTACGCAGGCAGTTAGAATAAACCCACTTTGATGAGCACTTTCACGTAGTTCTGGGAAAAAGACTGCTTCACAGTCTCCGTGGCCTTTTTGCAGAAGAAGGGTGGCTCGCTAATGTTAGCCGGAGAGGCCTGGCCATCGCGTTTGTCTGGCTGTGTGCACCCTTCAGCCGGAGGGCTGGTCTCTGTGCCGACACCATTCAGACTGTAACTGTGATAGCTGTGGGTCTTGGAGAGTTGGCGGCACCTGGTCTTCCGCTTCCCGTAGGGAACAAAAAAGTGCAGCTCCATAGAGGAGTTACCTTTAATAAAATTAATGATTTAAAAAGTCACTGAGCATTTCTGCCCTCACAGGTACCGTGGTAAGTGCGTGACAGGCGTTAACTCACTTAATCCTCCCAGTCCCTTGTGATCCAATGTTTTGTAGATGAAGGATGGAGAATCTCACAGAGTTTAAGTAACTTGTTTGAGATATCCTGGCAGATCGGTGGATATCTAAGCCCATCTAGAGGTTGAGCTCCTACCCACTGTGCTTGGGAAACATTGCCAGGCCTGCGCAAGGGAAGAGCTCGGTAAACAGAGGCTGTGATTCATTCATGGAACAACTGGGGCTGAGGAGTGTCTACTGCAAAACAGATTGGAGAACTGATTGGAGTGTGTGTGTGTGTGTGTGTGTGTGTGTGTGTGTGTGTGTGTGTGGTCTTTTTAATACAGGGTTTCACTATGCAGTTCAGGCTGCCCTTGAACTTGCAGTGACCCTCCTGCCTCAGCCTCCCGAGTGCTGGGATTACAGGCGTGTACCACCCTGCGCGGCTGAATTGAGTTTTTCCGTAGCAGTCCCAGAACATTATCATATCCATATGCCTGCTCTTTGTCTTTCTTCTGTTGCGTGCAGCTGCTGGGAAGAAGGTGCACGGATGCAGTTTTTACCACCCTTCTCTTCATTTTTCCTGTCGTTACGTCAGTTGAAACCAGATCAAGAAATCCTTAATGCCTCCGACTGAAATCTATAGAGGATCTCATGTTGTATTTAACAGGTCTTGACCTTTTCCCCCCTTTGGAGACAGGGACTTGGTATGCAGTTCAGGCTGGCCTGCACTATGTAACACAGGCTGGCCTCGAACTTGTGGCAATCCTCCTGCCTCAGTCTCCTGAGTGCTGGGGTTACAGGCATGCACCATCATGCGCAGCTTAACAGTCTTGAGACTGGTTTCTCAAGTACTTCCTGACTTAATTTATCTCACAGTGATGAGTTTCAGACACCTGTAAAAGGAAGAGGCTCAGCTCAACTACTGATGCTGTAGTGTAGTTGCGCGTTTTGTTACAAGTGAAAAGAGCTCTAACAGACTACCATAGGCTGATGGCTTGGAACAGAAGTGTATCGTCCCGTGGTTCTGCAGGCCGGAGCGGGCAGTCAGGAGGCCGTCCGGATGGCTTCCGTCCGTGGGCCGGGGAGTCTGTTCTGCCGTTCCCACTCAGCCTCTTGTAACTTGCTGGCGTCTTTGGGGTTCTTAGCCTCACCCAATCTGTGCGTCTTTGGGTTTATGTGGTGTGCTCCCTGGCTGTGCGTCTCCAACTGTCTTTATGGGAGGCAACCGTAAAGGATTAGAAGCACTCTGGTGACCTATTTTAACTTGATGATCTCTGCAGGGGGCGGGTCACAGTTTAACCTTCACACCAGGCGTGGACAGCTGCGTCACATACACCCTTCCCTGGGGGTGCCGCCCTCGCACCTGCACTAGCCGAGGTACTATACCTCGTAGGTCCAGTTTATCGAGTAAGTTCTGTTTAGTAGAGCACAGCTGTTGTCCAGAGTAATATCAAGATAATGAAACTCTACAGTGATTTGAGTGTTTCAGGCTGCAGCGTGCAGTGGGAAAGCCGACAGTGTTGGCCTCCTTGCTCTGGTCCTCTCCCTTCGGCTCCTGCTGGGCTGGAGCCGGTGAGGGAGAAGAAAGCCAGCGTGTTGATGGCCCGCGGTTGCGTGGTTGCGTTCGGCAGGTTCCTGGTAGTGCAGTCCCAGCGGAGGCCTCCTCCCCTGCCCTCCACTTTGTGGATACAACCCTGAAATGCAGCGGGTCCCCCCACGCCCCGGTTGGCCCTGGCCTGCCCTGGACCCCTTTGCTCTGTGTGCTCCGCCCTCTGCTGGTTCTGCCTGTGCGCTGCACTTTGGGAAGCCCCGCTGTCTTTTGTGAGGTCTCATTGGCTCACGGGAAGCAAGAACCTTCGCTGTCAGGGGAGCAGAGAGTCTTTCTTTTGTTGTTGTTTTCCGGTACCGGGAATCGAACTCACGACCTCGTGCTTGCCAGGCAGGCGCTGTGCCGCTGAGCTACATCCCCACCCTGGAGTGGAGAGTCTTAAACTCTCTTCACGGGCAGGCTGTGGCTCAGCCACACGTCTCACCTACAGGCCTGAGTCGCGGCCTCGTCTGTGACCATCTCAGTGCAGGAGGCACTCGTCCAGCGCCTCACGTACAGCAGTTGCTTCGACGCCGTGTAGTTTGTGAGGTGAGGAGCAGCGTTCTCTGCCGTCTCGGTAGCAGCAGTTACGCCGTCGGCCGTTCATCCTCAGCTTGTCCGAGCCTGCGGGAGACAGTGGCTAAGCCAGGCAGAGTCAGATCGGCTCACGGCCGGTCCGTGTTGCTGCTGCCTCTCCGCGGTGACTGCTCATGGTTCAGGACAAGGGGCTTGGGGCCCCAGGTAGGCGTTCTGACCTTGAGGAGATCGTCCTGCTTTACAGTTCACACATTTAAACATGTTAAAACAAAGTTTAATACAAGCTTCTTTGGTGTGTTTTGTCAGTGTGTAGACAGTTCCAGCCGTTTAGTTATTTCTTAGCTCATTTGGAGTGTCTTAGTGAAGGAATGATCGGTTACAGCTTCCCATTTTGCCCACACCACGGTACACTGTCTGCGCAGTGTCTCCCGCGGAGGGGATGGGTAGCCCGGGAGCGCGCGCGCGCGCACGTGCGCGAAGCCGAAAGCAGCAGCACTGGGTTTTATTCTGCGGGGACCCTTCTGTTTAAAGGCAGGGTATGTATGCTGGCTCTTTGCTGTATTTAATTTTATTAGTGGAATTCGTTCAGCGGTTTAAATGTGATTATTCCAATGCAAAAGTATTTTAAACCCTTATAGAACATTCAGAATTGAATGAAAGATTAGTTTAAGTATGGTAGCTACTTGGATAATTGTATTTGTCTATGTAGTATAGTATAAAGCTATTAATTCCTTGGTCCTCTTAAACTCAGAGCTGATGGCGGAGAAACCTATTACAACCACCCGGTACAGTTAGGTCTTTCAAAAATAATAGCTGAGGTGTGGTGGCACACACCCGTAATTCCAGCTACTCAGGAGGCTGAGGCAGGAGAATCCAGAGTGCCAGGCCAGGCTAAGCTGGGCAAGTGAGAGCCCGTCTAAAATTTTAAAAGGATTAGGGGAAGAGAGCTTGCCTAGCATGTGCAAGGCTGTGGACTCTATCCCCAGTGTAAAGGATGGAGGGGGGGAAGTGGAGAAGGACAGAGGAGAGGAAGAGGGAGGGAAAGAAACCCAGAACACCGGTGGACGCAGGACAGTGAGATCTGAAGTAAGCACCTGCAGTCCCCGGCCGCAGCAGCGGTGCAGGGAACCCCAGGACGCTGGTGCTAGCGAGGAGAAAGGAGGGAGGGGCGGGCTTAGGAGTTACTTTTTTTTTTTTAAACTTTACTGTTTGGGAATACATAGGCAACACGGGGAGCCAAGAAACCAGAAAATAAGTTAACTCTAAGTTGTGGACTTTTGGAAAAGATACAATAATGTTAATATAGAAAGGGTTACTTTTGGTGACATGATATATGCTCCCCCCAAAAAGAGGGGAAACTTTTACTTGAATGAGAAAATAATTATTTTATTGTTAAATTAAGGATTGTTGACATGCTCAATACCTTGGTTTTTTGGGGTTTTTTTGGTACCAGTAACCGAACTCAGGACCTTGCACTTCCCAGGCAGGCACTTGTGCCACTGAGCTATATCCCCAGTCCTGACATGATCAATACCTATTCCTTTGATTGTGTTTAATTTTATAGCAAAAATAAAAATTCAATTTAATGTAGGGGCTGTTGTTTATTATTTTAAATCATCACTCACGATTATCTCCTGTAAATCTGGCCTTCGGATTTTTAGAGGTTTCAGAAATACATCTTCCCACCAGCGGGCATCAGAACCAGTACTGAATTCTGTGATGTTATTTTGTTTCCTAATCCGCGATGGGAGCTGTTTGTACCCTTAGGAAGAGTCGCTGACGCACGCCCACACCCTGCTGGGGAGGGGTCTCGGGTGGAATCATGAGCTACAGACTGCCCTCACAGTCCTTGGAAATACGTGCCAGAGAAGCTTGAACTTTAAAGACTCTTCCTAGGCTCATTAGTTTATTCATTCAATTAACAGATACTTGTGGAAAACATCTTAATACGGTGCGATGTTCAGACACAGATGACTAAGATACTGCCCTTGCGCTGGAGGAATTCAGTCTTCTGGGTTTAATCTTCTTTATATTTTCACAAAAATTCCTGACTGTAAATTCGGTCGGTTTCTGTTGAGTGTCTGAGCGGTCTGAAATGCCTTGTTGCGGTGTGGCGCAGAGCCTCGGTGGGCTGAGTTCCCCGTCTCCCTCTGTGTGGCTGTGGGCTCTCAGGACACTGGGATCTTCCTCCCTAAACGTAGCACTGGTTTTAATATTTCTTGATATTCTCGCAGAGCCCGTGTCTTCCAACAGTACAAGCAGATCCAGTGAGACCAGCAGCACTGCGAAGCCATTAACACCTATAGCTTCCTCGGTGTCCGTCAGCGTGACGGCTGGCCCCACGAAGTCCACAGCGACTTCTAAAATGGCAACACCGGGGGTCTCAACCAGTGCGGCTCCCACCACCTCAAAGTCTACACCGAAAGCAACGAGCATGTCACAGAACACATCGCGCGTGCCAGTCCCCGCGGCGACCACGACCCACGGGAGCTTGGTGACCTCCCCGACAAGTATGTATTAAAGGTGGCCTGCTTATTCTGTGCTGCAGATAAGTTGTTAAATGCCACATGTAGCTCATCCTCTGTTCTGCAGAAATAAATGTAGAGAGACTCTGAGCCTAAGTTTTCCTCATCCCCGCGTCAGTGTTCTTTCACAGAAACCCTGGAAGTTTTAGTGTTTTTAAAAAAAGCGCTAACATCAGTTTTGTTTTCTCCCGGTCACAACAGCTGTTCATTCTCAGGAAAGCGGAGGATCCAGATTCGATCCGGGCAGCTTTGTCGGTGGTATTGTACTGACACTGGGAGTCTTGTCTGTTCTTTACATCGGATGCAAAATGTATTACTCAAGAAGAGGCATTCGGTACAGAACCATGTAAGTTTTCATATTTTTCTTTCTGTATATTCTTAGCGCATATTCACTTTACAAACTAACCGAGTTACTGTGGCATTCTCACGCATGCATGTGACATAGTTGGGTTACAGCCACCTCCCCTCCACTCCCATGAGCTTTTCCTCTTGCCTCCTAGTCTCCCTTCCACTTTAACGTCGTCTTCCTACTTGCGTCTTGTTTCCCTTAGTGGCACGTGTTAGGCAGAACCTGATACGCCTCTGAGCCTGGCTTCCTTCACTTAACATACTGATCTACAGTTCCTCCATTGACCTGCAAATGGCAGGATTTCATTCCTCTTTATGGCTGAATCATACTCCATCGTAGACACATTTTCCAGTACCCCATTGCGTACCCCACATTTTCTTTATTTTTTTCTTAGAATTGAGAATCAAACTCGGGACCTCGCACTTGCCAGGCAGGTGCCGTGCCGGTGCTGCTGAGCTGTATCCCCGGCCTTATCTCACATGTTCTTCGCTCACGCGATTGCAGGCTGTTGTGGACTGCGCCACAGTAAACGTGAAGCATGCTGGTACCTCTGCAGTGTGCTGACGATGTGTGCAGCGGTGGTGTATCTGTAGTAGTTTCGTGAAGAACTCCCATACACATTTCCATAGTGTGTGCGAATTCACATTCCCATGCTGATAACCAGCCCCGTGAATCCTCACCAGCATTGTTTTATAGTCTCGTTGACAGCCGTTTTGTTTTTATTTGCATTTCCCCAAAGGCTAAACATAATGAACACTTTCTCCATAGTCATTAGCCTTTATCTCTTCGAGAATTGTCTGTTCATTTGCCCATGTATTGATTGGATTATTATGGCTGAATGCTTCAGTTCTGTTAGTTCTTCTTGTATTCTGGATGGTCAGCCTGTCAGAACAGGTGGCGAACGCCCCTCCCGTTCCGCAGGCTCCTCTCACTGTCCTCCCTTGGCTGCGTGAAGCTGATTTGCTGGACTCGCACCTGTCGATTCTTGGTGTTTCTCCAGAGTTACTGGAGTCCTGTGCAGCGTGCCGTTGCCTGTCCCTGCATCGTGAAGTGTCCCCTCTTGTTTTCATGGAGCAGTTTCAAGTTTTAGGTCTTACATATTTAGGTCTCTGATCCACTATGAATTGATTTTTACTTACGTGAGATAGGATCTATTTTAGAGCCATGTAAGTTTTGATCATCTCTGCACACTTTTAATTATGATAGAATATCAGTCAGACCAGTGTTTATGTCAAGAATAGATTTATGAATTACGTTCCCATTATCCTTCCCTGCCCAAAGTAAATTGTTCCTGTTGAGGTGTGTGATTATATTTGTGTTTTCCTGCTGTCAAACATTTTTGCTTATAGCACTCAGGAGAAGAAATACCCTACCGGCTCTCATCAACCTCTTGACCGTGTGTCTTGTGTCTATTAATACGCACTTAGTAAGAACATGGTTTCATTTTTTGACAAAGACACAGAAACTAAACAGACTGCACTGACAGTTTCATTTTCCCTGATAATGTATAAATGAACACTACAAATAATATACTTTGTACAGTAAAACTGTCTTTTGAGATGAATTTTAACAAGCTTCAGTCTGCAAACCATGTTTACTCTACATACAGTTCCGGAGGTCTTACGGATTTTGGAGGTATCATCTCGCGACTTTCCTTGCTTCAGTGGTCTTCCTATCTGTCCATCCATCTCCCTGTCTGTCTGGTGTCCGGGATTAAACCTCAGGGCCTTGCTCTTGCCAGGCAAGTGCTCTACTGCTGAACTGCAGTACACCGTGAGCCCAGTTTTTGTGATGTTTGTCATTGGAGCCTTATGAGCTGCCTTGGTTGAAGTTGTGACAACCAACCGTAGCCTGGGTGCCTCAGAACAAATTTTTATTTTCTCAAAGTTCTGGAGGCTGGAAGTGCAAGTTTTACTTCTGGTGAGGAGTGTCTTCCAGGCGCAGACTGCCGACTTCCTGTTGTATTCCTCATGAGTTAGCTCTGTGACCCCTTCTCAGAAGGGCGCCGATCTCTTTGAGGAGATTCGCCCGAAGTCCCCACCTGCAAACAGCACACTGGATTAGAGTTTAAACTTAGGAATTTTGGGTGGACATATTTACCCACCGCATCTGTATAACATGTGGATAACGTATATAGTACTACACAGTAGTTAGCCATTTTCCAGAATTTGTTCTGTGGGTTAACAAGTGTCGTACACGTGTACACCCTACGCGCAGAGTTCTCACCTCAAACGTGGGAAGTGCTAGACTGAATACAACAGGTTACTCTGAAGTGTTCTCTAAGCCTTTAGCATACTGGTATCCATTGTAAACTTCAAAAAGGAAACACAGTATGGAATAGTTCTCAAATTTTTCACTGGAATGTTTGTTGAATGAGTAGATCTTTTTGTTCAGGTGAAATCATTATCTAAAGGAACTACTATTTTGTGGAATGTACCGGTGTAGTCTTTTGAAAGGATTTTCCATTTTTTGACCCTAGGTATTATTCAGTGCATACAAAAGCAAGTAAGATTTCGTAGTACCTTAAAAATTTATGCATATATAATAAGTACTAAATAAGACCGTGGAAATTTCTAAAATTTTCAATTCACTGACATAGGCCCTTAAGTCAACATATTATAAATAGAAAGGGACTCTAGATGCTTCACTAATTGACACCTTATTTTCATACTGAAGTACGTAGGTGGTTAAAAAATACATTTATTCAAGTCTACTTTCACCGTCTTGTGGTTTCCTTCATAGTCTACACGCTGAAATTAGGATGCAGTTTACCGACTGTTAGGTGAGGGCACCCCGTTATGAATTTAACTGGCTCCGGTATCTTAATCCTGCATTCTTTTTAAGGCCAGTAGATTTTTGAAGCTATTAAAAAAAAAAGGCAGGACTTAATTGTCCCATTAAAGAAACTGAGATCATTAATATTAAAGAGCACGTCCAGTTTTCATTACGTGGGTAATAACCCTGATTGAAACTTCAGCTCCTGTTGTGTCCTGGATTTGCATGGAGACAGTGGAATGAAATGGTTAAAGGTGGGACTTAAAGCAGGCAAACTTAGTTTGTGTGGATATACGTATTTGGAAAGTTACCTCAAGAACATTTAACATGAGGTCAAACCCCTTTAAGAAAAGTTTAAGAATATGGATTCACAGCGTTGGTCTGGAACGTAAATCTCTCGCGTAAGTGAAATGTTACACCCACGGAATAGGAATGCGTTGTCTTCCCCAGCCCCCAGTTTGAATCTGGTTCTGCTGGCAGCTGGCAGGTGCTTTCCTGTGCTTACGTGAGTGAGGAGGTACAGTGTGGTGAAGTGTTCAGTTCACGTGCAGGCTTAGCTTCTGCCTCTTCGCAGAATCCCATAATGAAAGATGCCTTGTTGCTGCGATGATTGAATGAGATGTGACTACATAACACCCGATACTGGGTTGTTTTCATTTTAAAGAGGTTCTAATAGCTTTCAAAGGGTTATGTTTCCCAACTGAGGAAGACATACAGCATGTAAGAAGCAGATGAGAGATCTGAATGCAGGTCAGTTTGACACCCTTAACCACTAGGATCTAGTAGACACTTAGGAAACTTAAGAGCAATGACAACTATTTTTGATTGTGAAACCTGAAATTCTTCTAATGTTAGTTTCCATGCATATATTAATATTTACTGTTTTAATGCAAATACAAATTTTTAACTTTTGATATATTACAGTGATGAACATGATGCCATCATTTAAGGAAATCCAAGAACCAAGCAAAGAAGAAAGATGGATGCAGCTCTGTAATTTCGGTTTATTAGTTTAAAACAATATTCTCTTAAAATAGTATAAATGGGCCAGGTATATGATGTATGGTGTATTACATAAGGGTGTGACAATTCCTCATCATTACTAAAGGTAAAAATGCCTTAGTTTGAACATTTAAATGAGTACTTGGAGCTTACAGATGATTTATGCGATGGTTATATTCACGTTTAGCAAATACGTCAAAGTCAGGCCAGTCCTGTCTCATGTTTCTGTGGCACTGCTCACTTAGGGCCGTAACTGAACCACCGCCGAAGGGCGGGAGGCCCTCTGGTTTACAGCGAAGGAGCTCAGTGGGGCACTCGGGGTTCTGAGTCTTTGCAGCTCACACGAAGAACTTCAGTGCTTTGCAGAGCTGCATCTAACTACTAATGCCGGAAGTGGAAATTACACAATTGAGTAAACCAGGTCTGAAGCGCAATCTGAGGAAGTGTCAGCGTTTTGTATTTTAAAGTATGGTATTTAGTCTAGAAACAGAATCTTGAAAACAAAACCCCAGGCAATACCTGTGCTTTGCTGTGTTAAGAGACCCAGTGGAACATTAGAAAAGCTTGTACATTTATTACTCACTTCTTTTAAGATTTCAATGTTAGCTGATATAATTGTCTTTTTCTATATAATTTAGGTAAACTGCAGTGTTAAAAATGATGTTTTAAGGTAAAGGTTCCAATATAAGACTGGCATTATGGGAAAAACTAGACGTTAGATTATTTACTACTGTGAGAATATCTTTCGCTAGAAATTGCTTTTTTTTTTCCTGTTCACATATTAATTTTGTATTTAGTGAATATTTTTAAAGAAATGTAGAGCTGCTTTCAATATCTAGAAATTTTAATGGTATATAAAAACTACTAACTTTAAAAAGAGATTTCCAAAACAATATTAGAACTCTGCACTGTCAGAATTATAGATTTTGCTGTTTACTAAACCAGGGATTACGGGAGTCTCCCCCCAGGCTACTCTACCTGCAGGGCGAAAATGCTGCATTTCATACACTGTCAACTTAAGAGAATGAGGGAAATGACATTTTTACAGTTTAAATAAATGCATTTGAGTACATTCTGACTTTAGACAGGACGTTTCCTGCTTCCTTACGTTGGGATCTTACTCCATTGTTTAAGGGGAGCTACTTCCAGATGCACTATGTTAATGAAGAGAAAAAGCACAGTATTATACAAACACCAATATTAGAGGGTATGTTTTAGTTTTACAGTTTATATTCTATAACTTAAACTCAGGGTCAAGTTTTAACAAAAGAGGCATTCCGTCATTAAATACCAAGATATTTCTATCTTACAGGGCCAAAGTAAAAGTTTCCACAAATCTAAAATGACCTCAGGTCTCCTAAAGAACAGGTACCAACGCTTAATAAAATACAACCTTGTGATCAGCTTTTGGCCTGCAGAGAATGCCGGATGTCAAGTATTTCGTTATGAAAGGATCATTTCTATGTGCTATGCATTATGGACAACTGCTAAGTGTGGACGACATCCTTTTCCGAAATATGTAAATGATCAAGTTTATACAGCACATGCAGTATGCAGGGAATTTTATGAAGCAGAGATGGTTAGCTTAGTTTGGAAAGAAATGTGGGTGGATGAGTAAACTGTGTGCTACTAACTTGGCCTTAATTGGTCTTGCAACCACTGCTTTCATTTCTTTGCGAAATACAGTTAAAACAGACGTTATAGTGATGAGGGCTTTTACCTTCTTTGTCTCTTGCATTCTTGGTGTTTCAGTACCAACCTGAAGTTTTTCTTGAACACCTGCTTCTTTAGCACTTTGCAGCTAGAAAACCACTTTTAAATTACTGTCGTCATTGCCTTGAAAGTTTCCTCTTTTGGGGTTGGAAATAATGTAGTTATGTCTTTCCTTTGTATATAAGTAGTATAATTTGTTATTTTCAAATACTAGTACTTTGAATACAGGTTTTTTTAAATCTACAGAAATGGTAATGTAAAAAACTGTATTACTTTGGAATATATTTCCTGAGCATAATGTCTTCCTAATTATGCTTATGTAAGCAAGTGCCCAATTTTCTTTGTATTCCTTGAGAATGTACTTACTTGAAAAACAATTCAGATGTCTAAATAGCATGCAGAAGCCACTCTGGTTTTTAAACATCCTTGGATAATCCATAAAAGGGATAATCCAAATAAAAATAAGTGAGAGTTGGCAGTACATTACAGTGGTAATTCTGTATTTTCAGAAAACAAAGCAAACTGCTCTTACCTTTTGTTTTTCTATTATAATGACCAGCTTTTGGTATTTCATTGTTACCGAGATCTATTTTTAAAATAAAATCTGCTCTTCATTTAAGTGTTTCATTTTCCTTCGTTAAATTCAAGAGAAAACAGAAAAACCTTAAGATGACGCACTCGTGAGTTGGTTGCCTGCACAAGTAGCAGCAGCTGGAACTTTTTTCCCCCTGTGGCAGGGAGGGGGGCAGTAATGGGGACAGAACCTAGGCCTTCACACTGACCTACATCCTCAGCCCTTTAAGACAGGCTCTTGCTGAGTTGCCCAGGCTGGGCTTAGATTTGTAATCCTCCTGCCTCAGCCTTAGTTTTTTATTGTGCTCTGAGGTCTAGGTGTAGTTCAGCACTCTACAATTTAGCAAACCCAGCAGGGCAATTATGATGTAAATCAGAAATTTAAGGAGCGCTGCTCAAGGGTTATAATGTGACCCCGCCTTACTGTGGGAGATTTTTACAAGATTGTACCATTCCATAGATAAACTGTCTACAAATACATTAATGTGTACATTTTCTACTGCTTTTTTTCTTCATAACTAAATATAACTTATGCGTAAGATTTTTTAAAGGGTAGTATCTTAAGGAAATCCCTCATATAGTAAGTACCCTTCTGTAGGTACACTGTGAAGTCAGATTGCTTGGGTTTAAATCTCTAAGCTCTGTGGTCTTGAATAAGTTACTCTTTGCCATGAGTACTTACTTCGTAGGGTTCACGTAAACTACTAGGGAATTTACTGGCTCATGGTTCTGCAGACTGGGACATCTAAGGGGCCAGCAGCTGGCAGGGGACTTGCAGGTCATAGGGCAGAGAGGAAGAGGGAATCAATCTTGTCCCACAAGAACAGCACTAAATAATGTTTTCAGCAAGTAGTCTTTCATTATATCCTTTGAAAATATTTTAATACTTCATGTATAAGGGGGTAGACACAAGTTTCAAGAAATAATGTTCATTTAAAATGAAACATTTGATAAAACCATTTTATATCTGTTCTGCTTTGATCAGATTAGTGAGTTTGTAGTAAAGGGGAGAAGAGTTTAACAGATACCATCTGTATAAATAGCTGGGCATCTCATGAAAACTCCAAGACGTCAGTTGGACACTTGAGGTCCGGGAAGATTTCTCATGTGCACAGAACAACTCACATCTAGTCTTTTCCTATAGGAGGACCATTGCCTGCGTCTTCTGCCGACGCACACCCCTGCATCCTAACCCTCTTCCAAAAGTGTTTAGATTTGTCACCTCCAACTACTCAAGAGACATTGCCAAGTTCTGTGAAAATATTTCTCATAGTCACTTCAAAAATTTCAGAACCAGTTAAAGTGTTTTTAACTTTTACCATGCTGCTGCTTCAAAAAGCTGAGATGTGTAGCTCAACGATACAGTACACATTTAGCACGCATGAGGCCGTGAGTTCAGCCTCCAGCACTGCTTTTTAAAACAAGGTGAGAGAAGGCCATGGAGTAAAAGTCCTCTTGGAACATACTGTCCTGTATTGCTTGTTTTACTGAGATTGAGAAAGGAAATCAGGAAGACACTTTCTCAGAACCTCCTACACTTCCTACTCAAGGGTATTTAAAAAAAAAAAACTGAGAACACTTCCTAACTCATTTTATAAGCCCAGAATTACCCTGACACCAAAGCTACATAAACATACCACAAGTAAACTACAAGCCAGTATCCCTTCATAAGCAAAAATAATATTAGCAAACAAAGTTCAACAATATTAAGTATGATACATTATGATCAAGTGAGATTTCTCCAAGACATTCAAGGGTGGTTCACATAACAAGAGTAACCTAACATACTGCCTTAGTAGAAGAGGAAAAAATCTCAGTGCAGAGAAACTAGGTGAAAGAATTCACCACTTTCATGGTAAAAAACAAAAAAGGTAGGACAGGCATTTCTTCACCCTGACGGATGGCGATTACAGCTAATGTACTCAATGATAGGTTACTGGATGTTTTCCTTGTATGACCAGCCATAGCACCATGATTATCATTATTTCTGTTTAACACTAGTGGATGTTTTGATTTTCCTTTAGGCAAAAAAAAAAAAAAAAAACGTAAGAAGTTGAAAAGCAGTAAAACTGTATTTGCAGATGGCATGATGCTATAACGTAGAAACAAAAAAATCTGTCAGAAAGCCTCCAGAGCTAATCAGTGCAGCAGTGCTGCAGGGAAAGGCCCACCACAGAATAATCAGCAATGAACAATCCAAAACAGACACTGAAAAAATAACTTCATAGTATGGGAACATCCAAAAGAACAAACACCTAAGATGTTTAACCCGATGAAAAACGTGTGCACTAAAAGCTGTAAACTACTGGTGAAAATTAAGGACCTACACGAATGGGAAAACGCCCTCGTGTTCACGGACTGACAAACTTAGTATTATGATGCTGTCTAAAGCATGCTACAGATTCGGTGCAGTCTCTTTCAAAATTGTAGCAGCTTTATCAAATTGATAGCAAGAATAAAGCAGAACTCACATTTCTCAGTTTAAAAGCTTAGTCCAAGACTACAGTAAGTTTTGTACAAATTAGTGTTGGTACCAGTAGCAGAACAGAGACCAGTGGGACTAAACGGAGAAACCATAATCCATGACCCACTGGTACGGAGGGGGTGTCAAGACCACTCAGTGGGGAAAATGTCTCTTCAGCAGATGGTGCGGGACAACTGGACACTCACACCCAAAAGAACAGAGCTAGACCCATATTTCAAGCCATACACAAAAATTAAAATGGATCAATGCCTAAATGTAAGACTCGAAGGAAAACCTCAGGGTAAATCTTGACCTTGGATTTAGCACTGGATTCTCAGACATGAGACAAAACCAAAGAAAACTAGATAGACTATCAAAATTAAAAGTCAACTATTTTTGTCAAAGGACATCATCAAAAAAGAGGTCTAGAGGAGGCAAAATAATCTGCAAGTCATACACACATCTGATAAGGGTCTACCATACAAACTAAAAACAAAAAGATCACCACTTTAAAAATAGACAAGGACTTGAATAGACGTTTCTCAGAAGATATAAGCACACGAAAATGTGTTCCACTGTCAACTGTTAAGGAAATGCAGAATAAGATTACAGTGAAATACAGGGATATGTGTCATTAAAAAAAAAAAGTATTGATGGGGTATGGAGAAATGGGAATCTTTATAAATTCCTGTTAGAGATAAAGTAAGTCCTCAGTAAAATCAAAGTGCTGTGGTACATGAGCCAATTCAATTCCTGGTCTATCCCCCCGAGTTGAAAATGTACTCAAAAAATATTTGTACATAAACATTTACAGCACCACTATTCACATTAATCAGGTGAAAACCAAAGTCCATCAATGGATGGATCTGTGAATTTTTTAAAAATTCACACAGAGAATATTTAGCCTCAAAACATGAAGTACTGATACCACGGGAAGAACCTCAAAAATACAATAAAAAAAAAAAGCATGTATTGTCCGCTTCATTTACATAAACTACCTAGACCAGGCAGACCCACAGAAGCGGAAAGCAGTGTCTGCTACAGTGCGGGGTAGGAGGGGTGCTGACTGCTTAAAAGGTACAAAGTCTTTTAGGGTAATGAAAGTATCCTGGAACCTGATAAAGGCAGTGGTTGCGCAAGTAGCATTCTGAGTGTACTAAATTACTGAACTGTATCCTTGCGAACAATTAATTTTATGTAAAATGAACTTAGTGGCAAATGAAAAGGAAGTGGGACGGAGGGAGTAAACCAGAAACATTTCAGTAATTCTGCTTCCAGGAAGTGAAGGGCAGAGTGGAACAGGTGGGAAGTTTAACATCAAGTGAGGGGTCAGGGCAGTCCACGTGGCGAGTTCCGCTCCTGGCCCTCGAGCGTTCCCCACACCGCACACGCAGCTGTCCCTGTGGCAGCAGGACCCCGCAGGGATCTGGCCAGCTTGTGTGCACTCCAGCGGTGGCTGAGGGTGTGCATGTGCGGGGACAGGAGAATTCTGTACTTCCCACTGACTCCTGCAAGAAAAGGGCTCTAAAAAATGGTGTACCGCTTTTTTAAAAAAGATCACTGGTATTTTTTATTTCACACTCTAGGTACCTTTAAGAAACTACCACTTGACAATTTTTAGCACAGGGCGAATTTCTTTCAGGTACTGCTATGAAAATATATCACAAAGAGTACATGCACAAGCAGTATGAGAATCCAGCTATTAAACCAGAAAGAGCTTTTGCTCAAATGTAAAACACTCGTTTCACAAAATTTTCTAGTTATTTTTTTAAAAAGTGTTACATTAGCATATAGCGTTTTTAAATGAATTTACAAATTTTTTTAAGACAACAGTCTCACTTTGTAGTTCAACTCACGATGATCTTCATGCCTCAGCCTCCTGAGTGGAGGTATTACAAGCATGCGCCACTATACTCAGCTTTTTTACTTCTAATGTGGTAAATACATACTAGGAGATACTCATCGAAATGGTAAACTTCTAGAAAAAATGTAGGTCTGTCTTCAAAGCTGCTAATCGGTCATCCTTTGACTTATGGAATGATAACAAGGGTCTCAGTGTAGAGAAAAGATCTCCATTATTATTAAATTTTAGCGTGTTAACAAGTTGCTTCTTTACATACTTACAAAATGGGAGGGAATGACTTTCTCTTGTTGATTTGAGGTCTTGAACCTAGGTTAGGTGTATACATGTGGACTACATACATGGAAAATTAGGACAAAAACAAATAGAAGACAGAAAAATACAATTTTCAACCGCCCTTCCCAGTGTACCTTTTTTTTTTTTTTTTTTTTTTTTGAGACAGGGTCTCGCTATGGAGTTCAGACTGGCTTTGAGCTCACTTTGTAGCCGAGGCTGGTCTTGAACTCGCAATGATCTTCCTGCCTCAGCCTCACGAGTGCTGGGATTACAGGCGTGCGCCACCATGCCCAGCACTCTGTTTAAAAAGATCTAAGAGACTTGTGGAGTGAGAAGAAATGAATGAGAAGTTTTAACATTAAATCTCCTTTGCCGCCTCCCTCACAAGCCGGCCGCACAGCTGGAGCTGGGAAGGTCGAGCGTAACCTGGCCCATGAGGAAGGACTGTCTCATCACTGCTATGCGGAAGGGCAGCCACTTCTGCAGATCTGATGTGCATCTATCTAGTTTTACTATTAAAAGATTTTGATACTGATTCAGGTTTCATTCAAAATATGCATATCATATAAAGCAACTCAACTGGGAATTCATATAAATCATTAAAGATTTTGTTTCATGAACTCAGTTTTTTACTTAGTAACAACTGAGTACAATAAAAATGTATGAAAAATGCTTTTTAAATCAGGGTAGAAAACACATTTTGAGGGCTGGGGATTTAGCGGCGCATGGTCTGCCTGGCTAGTGTGAGGTTGCGAGTTCAATTCCCAGTAGCAAAAAATAAAAAAGAAAAGAAAGGAAACACAGTTTGATGATGCAATTCCTTTTAACATCCTTTATTAAGACACTTTTCACAAACTAGGGGAAATCCTGTTTACCAGAGACAGGGTACAACATAAGTACACTTTAACAAGTAAAAAGCACCAAAAGAGAATTAGGCACCGTAACTCTGACAAACTCCAGAGCTACTGGTTTCTAGTACTGTACTTTCAAACTGCACTGGTATTTAGTACTCAAAGCTTTCACTAAGAATACCAAATACAATAACTCCTAAAAGGATCCAAACAAGCACATTACGTTTAACTCCGCCTACATCCACACATACATACTAATTCGGCTCATCAAACATAAATTTTCCCCTGCAACTGAACATTAAGATTAAATATATAATACTACCTTTTTTGAAACAAAGTTATTAATACCAAAGCTTAATAGAACGTGAATATTAACAGGTGAACTAGTAATTTATTTGTTGTTTTATACACTTTCCAATGTTCAATAAAGATTTTTCTGTATAGGCCAACATATAACCTGCTTTGTTTTATGAGAGAAATGTACGAACAGTGCCCTTGATTATACCCCTGCAAATCGGGCACTTTCTTAGAGAAGGGGCGCACTCCTGGCACACGACCAGATGACCACAAGGAATGAATACGATGGAAACTTCTTTGTCCATACACACTTTACAAGTTCGCTCTTCCTGCAACCTCCTCAGCTGTTCTTCCAAGGACAGACCTAAGAACAAAAACAACTGCCGTGAAACTCCGTTTCCACACTACCTCCCTAAGAAAACAAGAGTTCTACATCATGCTGGTCTTAGTTCTACTTTACCTGAGACGTCTTCTGCTGGGATATACTTCATATTCTTTTCCACTGAGGAAAAGAGAATATAAAAAAATCACTGGGCCAAATACAAAACGTTTTTCACCTATGACCTACTTAATGATATAGATTCAATCTATGTATTACTGAGAATTATTACATTTTGGACAATAAAAATAGCACTTTTCTGGAACAAGTGAAATGTAGATTATAGTTTACTAACTGGATTTATTCTGCTTGTCAAGCAGAGAGGAACATAATCCTAAGGATTTCTAGAATAATTTTCCCAACAAACTCACCAAATAAGTTCTCAAATAATGTAGAATCAACTTCTTTTAGGCAGTTTTTGAAGATGCTGGCAGCAGCATTTCCTTTAACTAAAACGGTATCAATCAGTTCTCTTGCTTGTAAAGGTATCTGTGTTTTCTGTTTAATAATATCATGTTCCTGTTTATTAATTACACTGGCCTTTAAAAGATTATCCAGGATAGGAAGTACACTTGTCAAGCGTTGAAAGAGCGCCATTCTGTTCTTCCGAATTAACGACAAGTCATCTTCATTTTAAATGAAAAAGAAAAAAGCCATTAGATTTTAAACTCCAACTACACTCACAGTCACCACCAACCCTACAAACAATCAGGCACTACACAGAGCTTGGGAAAGAAGAAAGTGACTTATTTGCACTTTAAGGTCTGTAATTTGGAAAACAGAAGGTTAAACCGAGACACATAGTACATACAAGATCTGCGGCAGTAATTTTTAAGTCTATATACTAACACATCCCAGAGCCCTGCTTTTTCCTTTATTCTGCTAAAAACAAGCAGAAAATTTTAAGGTAGTAAAAATTTCCCACCTCTGTATCCCAGCATGGAATTAATATTGATTTCTATTTGCATTCTGTCACCTTGTTTTTTAATAAGCACTTGCATTTAATTTTATTAGATATAAGTATCCTGTTAATTAAACAAAGCAAGTATCATTGTCTCTCATTTTCAAATTGAGAGGAAAAGACTCGAACAGAACTTGTGGCTTATCCAAGAACACAGAATAAGCTGCAAAGCTAGGTGTTCTTTTCAGCATCACAGGGAGCTGCAGTGATGCAGAGCTGGAGCTGTGAAGCAGACAAGCTTCAGGCAGCCTCAGGCTCCCATCCGAGACCGGCCACCTACTAGCCACGCGCCCCAGCACTCCTCCACACGTACTGTAAACACAGACAACAGCACCTTCCTCCAAGAGCTGGGAGGATCAAGTGAGATTCACAGTTCTCAAACATTCAGCATATCTGGCACATAGCTATCATTTTATAAATGTCTAGATTTATATCAATGTTTAAAAAATCACTACAGGGGCCGGGGATTTAGCTCAGCGGCAAAGCGCCTGCCTGGCAAGCCGCAAGGTCGTGAGTTCGGTTCCCGGTACCAGAAAAAAAAACAAAAAAAAAACAAAAAAAAAAACCAAAACAAATTAAAAAATCACTACAGCAAATCAAGCTTCATCTTACTTAAAAGCAAAAATTTTTCCTTTAACCTCAAATCACACAAAAGCCCACAGTAAATTTACTGCATTTATGGAATATGAACACGAATTCTTCAGGCATGTTTAACAGTTTCTTCTGTTGGTGTTCCAAGCACTATAAAACTGCCTATTTTCAGACTTTCCAAAAACATCTGAGGTACATGTCTACAGTGTAAAAGTTTAATGAGAAATAAATGATAAAGTCTAGTTTCCCTCTTTATATTTTTCTAGAAGTAAACTGCTTTATTCATCTTGAAAGTATGAAATTCCCTTCTCTGAGCACAACCTAGCCTTCTACCCTGAATAATTTGCCTTGCTGCTAACAAATCTGTTCCTCACTTTCTCAACGTCCCTGTGTCATTCCTGACTCTGTTAACACAAGCGCGCTCTCTTATCTCCCATCTCACCTAGCCAGCGGCCCGTGTTTCGGTGGTGTTCTCTTAGCATGCTTCACTCTTCTCCCTACGCCTTACTTGGGCTGTTCCCGTTAAATCACCGAAACCCGTAATCCAAAACTTCGCTGACCCCTACGAAGCGGAGAAAGTCACAGAACCAAAGCGACTAGATTTACTGCGGTGACTTCACTGAACCTTACTTGGGTTTCATTACTGCTTAACGATCTTCCATCTTTTCACTTTCCTCAGGCCCTTTACCTCTTCCCAAATAATCCATTTACTGGAGAGGCTGAGGTGTGATCAGTGGCAGAACTTGCACTTAGGCATAAAAGAAGCCATGGGCTCAATCTCAGTATCAAAACAAAACAAAAAAATCCACCGAATAGAAAACAAGGTTTTTTGCCCGCGCGGCACTGTGCCAGTGTACCTGCAGCGCCTTACTTCACCCGGAGCAGCCCTACGGGAGCGGCACTATCGTCACCCCTACTTCACAGACTCAAACACCGAGTCGGGTGGAGTAAACTGCCAGCCTAGTGGCTGATGGGAGTCAGAATTCACATACAAACGTTTGTCTCAATCTGCAGATTAGGTTCTTAAACCTTTGCGCTCCATGGCCACACAATGTTGTTTTTACAACATTTTTCACCTTTGCTTACAAACTTACAAAGAAAACTAAAGAGGTTCCCAGCTAGGGGCAGCTGGAAGGGGCAGGCAGGCCGTGCACACACGACCGGGGCGCGGACAGCAGGTACTGGTGGGCCGCAGCCAAGGCCGCCGCCCCGCAGTGAGCAGCGACGAGGCCCCACTGAAAGGTAGCGGGGAACCAGCATTACAATACCTGACGCCACCTCCTCGGCTGGCCGTGCCTTCTCCTCCTCTCTCCTCTCATCTTCAGCATTAAGCAGTGCCGACACAATATCATTAACTGTTCTGTAGTTCTCTCCGGTGCTCAGGATTTTGCTCTGAATGGTCTGCTTTATCAGGCTTCTGCTGAAGCCCATTTCCAAAGCCGCTTTAACCACAGGGGTGTTCATCATGATGGCATCTTCTGAAGAACCTTCTCCAGGTCCAAAATGGACAACTATTTGGAAAGACATTTGCGAACATTCCTCAAATATAAAACTATGGAGAAAAACACGGCACAAACTTTACGCTCATCACTGACTCTCACGTGCTGGGTAAGGGCAGGAACTACGCGTATCAGCACCTGGAGTGCCAGTAAAAATCTGAACTTGATAATGGTTAAGTGAGAATATAACATGAACGAGTTTTTTTAAAGTATCACTTCCCACATTACATCTCAGACCCACTTAATGAAAAATTTTCTAGAAGAATTAGGAGACTATATTCTTTTAAAATTTCCCCAAGTCATTCTAATATATATTCATTTTTGGACATCACTATGCTACTAAACTTGAGTGAGAAATTACCTCCAGCCAAGAAAGTGAGCGAACTGCAAAGGCTTTATGGAAAAGGTGGCATTAAGGGATTAGACTTGGCTCTGAGGGGTTTTTTTTTTTGTTTTTTTTTTTGCCTTTTTGAGACAGGGTCTAGCTAGGCAGTTCAGGCTGGCCTTGAGATCACTTTGTAGCCCAGGCTGGTTTCAAACTCACAGCGATCCTCCTGCCTCAGCCTCCAGAGTGCTGGGATTACAGGCATGTGCCATTACACCTGGCATGGCTCTGAATTTTATCTCCAGCAACAGACACACACACACACACACACAGAGAGGCTGGATTTAAAGAACGAACAGGTTCTCAGGGTTGCAGATTCAGCTCAGTAGAGTGCTTGCTTAGCCAGCACAAAGACCTGCATTCAGTCCTCTGCACCAAAAAATTTTAAAAAAGAATGAATGAATGAATGAATGAACAGGTTCCAAACAGGTGAACGGTTAACGATAGGAAGTATAATAAAGTAAAAGACTAGCTCACCCAAAATATGTCTAAAGATGTAACTAAAACATGGTTAAAAAATAAACAAGCCAGGTATAGTGACACACGCCTATAATCCCAGCACTCAGTGGGCTGAAGCAGGACGATTGAGAGTTTGAGGCTGGAACAAAAACCAAAAAGAAAAGAAAAAAACCACAAAACCAGCCAGGCATGGTGGCTCACGCCTGTAATCTCAGCCCTCGGGAGGCTGAGGCAGGAGGACTGCCATGAGTTTGAGGCCAGCCTGGGCTACACCAGTGAGTTGAAGGCCAACCTGAACTATGCAGCAAGACCCTGTGTCAAAAACTCCACAAATTAAACAACACAGAAACAGTAAACAAAATATGATTTTAGGTAGAGACTGACATGCTGAATTTAAAAAAACAAAACAAAAAACCAGTGTAAAGTGATTAGAAGAAAGTAGGTAGCAGAAGGCCCTTTCAGAGAGGGTGATTAGGGAAGCATTTTCTCGTACTGGATGGGGCCAATGCTAGTTTCATAGGGCACCATCTGGAAATCAGCACTGAGACACTTTACTGCCATCTGCTGGAAAACTATTACAATACACATACAAATATACAGAGTTGAAACTGTATACTGAGCAACCTTGCTCAAACATATGCCTCTGAAGAGACAGCACCAAAATACTCTATCCCCAGCACCTCAAAAAACACGCATGCACGCAAGCAAAAACCTCAGCGCTTAGGTGATAAGGAGTACGCTATAGGAATATCTGAAAGAAATCCAGGCAAAGATAACAGCAAGGGTAAAAGCCTTAGAACACAGGAAAAGCTTAACATTCAAGAACTAGGAGGCGGAAGATCAGAGAGGAAAACTGATCAACTTTCCAGTTGATGGAGAGCCTTGCAAAGACTTTATACTGTATTTCATTCTAAGTTGCTAGAATATTCTAGAGGATTTAAGTGGGAGACTCTGGAGATGAAATTTAATGAGGTAAAATGAAACTGGGGGAAGTGGTAAGATATGGCAGAAAATGGTAACTGCAAGGGTTAGGCTGATACTGGTAGAGAGGAAAAGAAGCAGTCAGACTTAGGATATATTATGAAGACAAAGACTTCTAATCAACTAGATATGCAAGCTGAAAGAGGAATTGAGTATGAAGTGAACTTTTTTTTTTTTTTTTTTTGGTTTTTTGAGACAAGATTTCACTGTACAGTTCAGGCTGGCTTGAACTCACAACAATCCTCCTGCCTCAGCCTCCACAGTGCTGGGATTACAGGTGTGCCTGGCCTTGATGCTAGCTTTCTAACATTAGCAAATACCACTATGGGAAAGGAGCAAATGAGGGCTGAAGGATGGGGAGAAAGATTAGTTTGGGTCATATTAACTGTGAAGCATCTACTACAGACAAAAGGTAAGTAGTACCATCAAGATTACAGCAGGGAGTTAAACATTTCAGTGTGAGACTAGGAAACAGGAGAAATCTGGGCTAAGGACAAAGGGTACTCCACTTTTTAGAAGTCTGAAAAAGCAGCAGCCAGCAAAGAAATTACTCACAATCAACCAAGCAAACAGGAAAAAAACAACAGGCAGTATCAGGGTAGTCAAGCAGGAGGCCGTGTTAAAGGCGAGGCACTCAACTATATCAAATGCTCCTTGACAAGCCAGTCGCAGGCGTGCTAACGCAGCCGTTCTTGGTGTCCCACACAAGGAGGAAAGAACCGCCCTAAGTAAACGCACAGAAGAGACCCCAGAGGGCCGGTGGCAGGGATGGCCTAGATTACGAGCTTCAGAAAAGAAGAAACATGGATATACACTGTAGGCTGACGTTGTTACGGGTGGAAGGCAGGTTTCTGGGATTCTTTTATTTTCTCTGTGAAGTTGGACATGAACCAAGAGTAAGGGGGAAAGAGCAGAAACTGATGGAGAAAATGTGACAGTCACTGTGAAGAGTGGCGAAGTGATTTCATTTCGGAACTGCGGTAGCGCTGCAAGGCAGCCCGCTGTACAGCAGTGGCTTTAAGCTGAACTTAAGCAGTCAGCACCTCACTTCATCTTTCCAGCTCCACTACACAGGAGACAGTTATCACACACCCAGGTACGCCTGCTCTCACAGTGTCCCTCCTTCTCCTGATCTCCGAGTCATGTTTTCTAGGACTCTCACCTATCGTGTTACCTTCCTCTATTGTTATGAATCTGCCAATGTCCCTCTTTCTAGATGTGATCTGCACCGCCAAGGATTACCATTATGTACACAGCATACATTTACTCACAGAGGTGGCTAAAATTAAACTCCACTCGAGAGACAACCTTCCCCTGAAATACTACACACCTGCTCCTAACACCTAACGCCTAGCTCACCCTCACTCACGTGAACTGGGCCTTCTCTGAATCATGCCAGCTCACAGCCACCACCTCCTCAGTGGAGGCTTTATCTGCACTTGTCATTTCATTGCTGTGAGCTAAGGGATACTGTTTTTGTCTGTGTATTGTCTCCTCAGTCGGAATGTCAGCACTCTGAAACACTCTTTAAAATACCATGAATCTTAGCTGATACGTAATACTGTATTAGTTAACTGCCCGGTATTTTCTTTCTTTTGTTTTTGTACCGGGAATCAAACTCCTGACCTCATGCTTGCCAGGCACGCGCTGTGCCGCCAAGCTACGTCTTGGGCCCTTGCCCAGTATTTTCTCCTGCAACTTCAAAAATACCCCCCTTCTTGTTTACATATTTTCAGTCTGAACATTCTTATAAAAATTCCCATTCTATATTTGAAATACTTTCATACATACTTGGTGGATCAGTATTTTCTTCTCCAGGAGTGTCGGAAGTTGACAACAGCTATGAGACACAAGAAAAATTAGCAGGTAAAAGTCAAAACCCTGAATAATATGAACAGCAACATTCAGATAAGTTTACCTTAAGTAAATATACGTAGTTCACTCTGCTTTGTTTTACCATAACTACCATACAGCTTTCCTTAAATTTCACCTACTTCCCCTGATTCAGGAGAGTAAGAAGACATGCTAATGGTTCTTCAATCCATTGGGAAAGCAAGATTTCAAATGAGTTACTCTCAAAAGATCTCAACTCCTAGCAAGTATTTTTGTTTGTATTCTGGAAAAGATAGAAAAGACACTAAAGCCCACCTCAACGCCATCACAATGGCAGCATGAATGATTTTTTTTTTTTTTACAAATTTGAAACAAAAAATCATCTTTTTGAGGAAGCCCTAAACAAACAAGTTGGTGACAAAAGTAAATATCAGAGGTATCATTAATATGGATACAAAATATATAACTAGAGTTAATAAGGAAATAAAGCCTGAGGGTATAGATGAATGGCAGAAATCTTGCCTAGCATGGAAGGCCCTGAATTCAGTCCCCAGCATAAAGAAGGAAAGATGCAAATATCATTTCTTGTAGTATTTCTGAATTTATTATATAGAATTCAAAATCATTAATTTTAAAAATGTATTTACTTGTTCAAGAAGATGAGGATATCTAGCTTGAATCTCATCAACAAATTCCTGCCCTTTCATGCGTATCAAGAACTCACACCTAAAACATAAAAGGAAAAATATTTTTTAAATTGTTTCTTATGAAAAATGTAACTTAATCATTTTAGATTCTTTCAAACCTTGATTGTAACCGAAAACAAAAACATTTTACATCATAATCCAGTAATATGTGTATCTAACAGCAAAAAGGTTATCATAAAACACACATTTTTACCGTGTTTTTGATAATTCTAATATCATAATTCCATTAACATAGTAACAAAAAAAGAAAAGGTCTGAAAAAAGGTCTGAAAAACTCTGTTAGAGACAATTTACTTTCCAGATTTGATTATTTCAGAAACCGTAACTCAATACCCCTAAAATCCTATATCCTTCGGAATGTAAGAACTGGACCCTGCCTCTGTGACTGCTCTGTAGGAATCCATACCTCAGACACCAGCGCTACCACCACGAACACCATCGTGGCTGCCCACGGGCCAGAAATGGTGCCAGAATGGACCCCGTGAGCCACATGTCCCATGAGAGAGAGATCAAGTCTCCGACAGCCCTGCTGCTGCTCAGGTCCCTACGACCCTTGCTGACAATGATTTCCGTTAATAGGGCTGCACAGACCGCCCCGCACCTCCCACAGTGGCAGAACCACCCCACCCTACAAGCCAGAATCTTCACTGCCACACACAGGTAAAGGACCTTCTCCAACAGAAACAGTCCCTGAAGCCTGTAAGAGTAACTGCTCCACGAAATGCACAGATAGCAGGAAGACTACAAGAAAACAAAAAAGTAAACAAAACAAAGGAAGAAAACATGACACTACCAAAGGGACACAATTTTGCAAGAAGCAACACAAAAGAAAGGGAGACCTATGCTCCCAAGCAAGGAATTCGTAACTGTTTTAAGGAAGCCCAGTAAGTTTCAGAACATAGACAACACAATGAAATCAGAAAAATAATACTTTAAGAAATGAGAAATTCAACAGTGATTAAAAATCATTGAAATAATAAGGATTTCAACACCACACCTGCAACAAAAAACAGAGGGAAGACTCAAAACAATCAGAAACAAAAGTGGAGACCGTACAGCTGATTCAGAAATACAGAAACTCTTAAGGGACTGCTATAAACTTACATAGCAAATTGGATAATCTAGAAAAGATGGATACATTCCTAGAAACGTACCTTTCATAACTAAAATCATTATTATAACATTGGCACAGATCTGTAACTACTAAACAGATTAAATCAGTAATCAAAAATCTCACAAAAAAGAAAAGCTCAAGAATACGTATCTTAACAGCACAATCATAGCCAACGTTTAAA